GCCTGATACAACAAAGGCATACACCCAACAGATAAGACCATGAATGCTTTTAAGTAAGAAAACATTCTTAGCTATATCATTATGTGTGGTCATATACCTTAAAATTGTCAATATCCATAAAATGAGTCGTGTTATAAATGTTTCTACATTTTACGACATAGTTGAAGACTACCAACACTAGTCAATAATTTTTTCAAACTACTGGTCAAAACTCATGGAAAAGTAAGGAAGTCCAAACCAGGTCCACGGGCATAATCTGGATTTTGAATACTATTTTAGAAATATAACGTGTCTAATGTTTCAGAATTTTCCCCATCACTTGCCACATGTTTAGGAAAAGGAAATAAAATAAATACTCCCTGAATTTTCTTTTCTTGAAGGAAAAGTAAAGAAATTCAAAGAGAACTGTTTTTCAGCCATTTACATATAATTTTCATCTTTAATATAATTATTTAACAAAAAAAGTACTTTCAAGTTATTCTTCCAATTTACAAAAATCTTCAGCTTTACTGAAAAGTCACATAGAGGTATAGCCTAGAGTTGGATCTTCCAGACTGAAAATTTGAGTTATTCCTTTTATTTGCAATATAACTGTAGGCAAGTTACTTAACCTCTTTTGCCTCACTTACATCATGTGTAACTGGGGCTAACAGTTTATGTAAAAGGCCCCCAAAGTAAATATTTTATGCTTTGTGGGTAACACAGTTTCTGTTGTTCTTCCTCTTTTTTTTTTTTCTTTCCTAACAACTCTTTGAAAATACAAAATCATTATTGGCTTAAGGGCTATACAAAAAGTTTCTCAGTAGTTTGTTGATGCTTGATTCATATAATGGAGAAAATAAAAGCATTTACTTCCTGGGGTTATGATTAACTGAATCAACGTATGAAACATGTTTTCAAAGCATGGGCATATGATTAAAGTTATAAAAGTGTTTATTGTTGCCACTATTATTTCTAGCCAAATTTTATTTACAAGACACTTGCTGTTCTTGGATGACTTCTATAACTCTGTGATTTGAAATCTGAAGAAAGGTTTGTCTTTGCTGGTTTAATATTAACTGCCAGGAGACACATTCTGCACAGCAAACTGATGGAACCTCTAAATGTAGTATTGAAACAGAAAAGAGTGACATTAAAAGATGGTTCTGATGTAGTCTTTTGGAAATCTGGACAGGAGCAACCTTATTGAAAAAATTCACTATGAAAATGTCAGGGCCAAGTTACTTGAAACATTGAATTAAACACATCAATCATTTCTCAATGACATGGTATTCTTATTCTCTCTCTGCTCACGTAAGTACACACACTTCTTCATTTACATGAACTCATAATATCACTTATTTTTTAAACCGAGAAATAAGAGGGAATAACTAGAATGCAAAATACAAGTACAAAGTCAGCAAAAACTGATGGTTTTTAAAATGCACAAGTTAAATGCTAATTTTCCCTTCAGTATAGTAATGTACTAATCATTTATGTTCTCTCAAAATTCACTTGTTGAAATCTGAACTCCTAATGTGGTGACATTAGGAGAAAGGGTCTTTTAGAGGTGACTAAGTCATAAAGATAGTCACTTGAGGATACAACAGGATTCATGCCTCTATTAGTGGGGGCCCAGAGTTGTTTTCGAAATGTCTTTTTGCATATGAGTTTCAAGAAAACAGTCTGTCATTCTAATGTGGGGTCTTACTAGAACCCTACCGTGTTGGCAGCCTGACCTCAGACTTCCAGGCACCAGAATTGTGAGAAATAGATTCTGGCAACTTGTAAGCCACCTTACAAACTCAGTTGTTTGAAAGTAACCTTAACTGTCTAAGACAACTGTTCTTTAGAACAACTGAATATAGAATGATTTCATGAGAAATGAAATTAAAAGGTAATGTTGGTATTTAAAAAAATTGAAATCTATGCATTTCAGAGGTCTTCAAAGATCCTTTAGGGGCTGGCATTAGAAGTAGCAGTTACAAAACTGGCTGGGATACCTCTGTCCCACCTATGTAGAGTGACTGGGTTCAAGTCTCGGCTCTGCTCTCAGTTCTACCTTACTGCTAGTGCATTAGCCTGCAGCAGCTGACACCTCTAGCGGTCACATGGCCACTGTCCATGTGGGGCTTGGATTGAGCTTATGGTTCCTTGGCTTCACCTGACCCAGGCCTAGTGGTGAACCTGCAGGTAAGAGCTGTGCTCGCTTGGGCAGCACATATACTAAAACTGGAGTGAAAGAGATAACAGCTTTCTATCTGCTTCTATCCCTCAAATAAATAAACACAAATAATTCTTTAAAATACTCATGGAAAATGCATATGATGAAAAAAGTACATGCATACTTCAAAATTTCTTGAAACACAACTGTTTTTAATTCCACTTCTCCCTGAAATTTTTTAAGTACTCTTGTATTTATAGAATTAACATGTGAAAAATTTCAGAGAAAGAAATATCTCAACCAAGAGAAAATACTTAATAGGCAAGTTATGAATGAAAACCAATGATTAAAACTCAACTTTCGGGCCCGGGGCGGTGGCGCAACTGATTAAGGTCCTCGCCTTGCACGCCCCGGGATCCCATATGGGCACCGGTTCTAATCCCGGCAGCCCCGCTTTCCTTCTAGCTCCCTGCCTGTGGCCTGGGAAAGCAGTCAAGGACGGCCCAAGGCTTTGGGACCCTGCACCCGCGTGGGAGACCTGGAAGAGGCTCCTGGCTTTGGATCAGCATAGCATCGGCCGTTGCGCTCACTTGGGGGGTGAATCATCGGACGGAAGATCTTCCTCTCTGTCTCTCCTCTCTGTATATCTGCCTTTCCAATAAAAAAAATAATAAAAATAAATCTTTAAAAAAAAACCTCAACTTTCATGGGAAAAATATTGTGGTGTGGCTTGTTAAGCTGCAGCTTGGGAACCCCGCATCCCATACTGGAGTGCTGGTTTGAGTCATGGATACTCTGCTTCCCATTCAGCAGACAACGGTTCAAGTGCATGGGCCTGGAGTTCCTGGACTCCAGGACTGCAGTTCCTGGACTCCAGGACTGCAGTTCCTGAATTGGCTGTTTTGGACATTGGGAAGAGCATTATTGGACAGAAGACCTTTCATGCTTTCTACCTCTTGAAAAGATGGCAACAAAGAAACATTGTAAACACCTTAAGTCTTGTGATTTATTAGGCATAAGCTGGATAAGGCCACATACAAATACTAAAAAACAACCCAGCAGGTTAAGTTTTGAACATTTTACAAGGTGTTATAATTAAATATAGGACTCACGGAATTAAACCTTATAACCCAATGATGTCTAAGCATAAAAAAATACTTGTTTCAGTTTTAATGATATACCTTAATTGTATGTAAATACAAATGCAATAATTTCAGTTTATACACACTTATGTGGTATAATGTGAGTATACTATTGCCACACTTGCCTCTATATCATCTTCATAGGGAGATGTAGAGTGGGAACAGTTGTTTATAAATTATAAATTATATCCTGAATATTAAATAAACAAATGCAAAAGTACATACTTGTCTAGGAAGGAATTACTGCAGTTCAAAATTTAAATAGTATTAATCAAACAGTTGTCCTGGAATTCTATGTTTCCCACTACCATTGACATCTGATATCTTTGTTAATGAAAGGATGTTTTCAACAATTTTAGTTGTTATTTGGGCAGATCATCCTTAATATAATATCTGCAGTGCTCCTATATCTTGAAATATTCATTTTAAATAATATGGCTTGGTTCAGAAAGCTAAGAACACCACTTACTGGCACTAACCTTAGGCAAATTCTATAATCTTTAAAGCTTTCAGTTTCTAATTTATAAAACAGAAATTGAACCCACATATAATGTTATTGTGAGGGCCAAATGATATACAGTGCTGTATCTGTAATTAATGCCTGGTTCATGAAACAGTGATCAGATAGTGATTTCAAACAACCCTTTCGCTATCCTCCTAAAATAGTTACAGCACATCAATTCTGTAAAAAAAAAAAAAAAAAACAAAAACCAAAAAACAAATAAAAAACCCACAGTAATAATTTTCTCATCATGTCTTTTCTATATTTGAGGTAATTTTAGCTTGATGACATTCTCAGTTTACAACCTCATCAAAACAACTTAATAGAGGCTGGAATGTTATGGATAGTTTTCAGTTTGCCAAATGCCAAATCATTGATACTTCTGATCTTGGAGAAACTGGATTATAGAACTTCAGCCGTAGTTTTTAAATTATTTTATTAATATTTGTATAAAACATACTGTTCGTATAGTTACTATATAACACATCTCTATTATTTACGTTTTTGTCTTGTTTTTATCATTTTCATAGCTAAGATTATTAAAATGTAGCACATCGCAAATGATAGTTCTCTTTATAAGAAATATTTGCCAGTATTGGCATCACGGTTCTAAAAAGTGTTTCTCAGTGATTAAAGTGAAAGCACCTATTTAGAATTCATAATTATAAACAGTCTTAAAGTTGTGAGAACTAACACAATTTGGAGATATGTCTATACTTTAGAAAACCTTTATGTGGCAGTTTATGCTTAGAAAAAATTTTGAGCTACAGTTCATTTCAGCAAAGTAGCAAATTGGAGGCTTTTGAGAGAAAAAAATTGAGACGTCAGTAATAATAATTACTGAAGAATCAAACATCAATTTACTTTTATACGTCTTAATCTGAAGTTACTGTATTTTCACTCAGCCAATGAAATAAAATGTGATACTATGTTTGAGAATGTTCTCAAATATCCCTCATTAAACTTTAACTTCTCTGAAGACAAGGTGTGACTTACCTGTCTTCGCCATCACTGCCTAAGAGAGTCTGATTAGCATAGAGATATTCAATATGTACTGAATATATAAGTTTAGCTTAACTTGGTCTTGTATCATTTATGAATGCTTCATGGTAAACAAGCCATTTTAACAATTCCATTTAACAAGCCAGGGTAAACAATACCATTTTAGCAAAACATTAATCTTTTCAGCTTTAACAAAGCACACCAGTTATTCTATTTCATTCTATGTTTTATTAATGATGACACACAGTAAAAATTTAATATATATTAATTATCAATAGTCCCTCATAAATACTTTAAATTATTTTTCATATGCATAATTCATATTGCATAGTTATTCCATAAACTCAACTTTTGAATGCAATTAGATAAAATACATTAAGATATCATAAATCATGATGAAATATTGAGATGGCTTTTAATTCTGACTTTAAAAAATCCTAATTATAATAAAATGTACATTTTAAACAAGAAGTTGGTAATTCTATACCATCTTTTTGAGGGAATATTTGGTTTTGTATAATAGTCATATTAGCATACCTGAAGTTCTATGTTCTTAAAAAGCTCAGAGTCCATAAATGCAAGCAGAATATAAAATATTCTTGGATGCAAAATGTTAAAGATGTTCAGATGGTCTTAGGATATTCCTTGAATTCAGAATTCCCAATGTTTCCAAATACTATCCATTCAAGTCTTCACAGCCTGGATCTGATCTGACAACAATACCAAAAAACAAAGAAAAACTGATTAGTCTCTACATTGCAGAAATTATTTCCTAAAGTAATCCAAGATACATTTATGTAGTATGGTAGATCCACATATATACACCTATTTTAAAAATAGTTTTTTTATTGAAGTTGTACATGTATATAAATAATCAGTTCTACAGGATTGTATGAAAAACAGCTGTCTCTATGTACTTGCAAAGTCAATTACTTCCAATCTCTTTCAAGGTGATTATTTGTGCATCTCTAAATATGTGTTTTTATTATTACTCATTGATATATCAGCTCTTTCAATGTAACATCAAGGTCCTTTAACCTCTTTCACATTTTCAGACAGCTTCTGGGTGAGCCTCAAAACATTTATAATCTCATTTTTCTTCTAACATATGTGTTATCAATACATTCTACTAACATATGTATTATCAATACAATACCATATAATTATACAAGTATTCACTATCTTTACTCCATTTTTGTTTTCCCTGGAGTAAATAATTTTACTTCCTGCCCCAATACAATCCATCCAGTTAATGTGTTTAATATTAATTCAGTCCTAATACTCCCACAGTTTAAAACTTTATGCCTATGTAGCATATCAACAATCCATCAATTTCATTTTCTGGAAGAGCTTTCCAAAGTATTATTAAACTATACAGGCTAAGACAATTAGTTGTTTCCCATGCCTGCTATATTCTTTTAAATACATACATATATAAATATATAAATCTCCTTTGACTATAATCTCATATAATCCCATACGGGTGCTGGTTCTAATCCTGGCAGCTCCACTTTCCATCCAGCTCCCTGAGTGTGGCCTGGGAAAGCAGTCGAGGACAGCCCAAGGTCTTGGGACCCTGCACCCGTATGGGAGACCTGGAGGAAGTTCCAGGCTCCTGGCTTATGATAGGCACAAAACTGGCCGTTGAGGTCACTTGGGGAGTGAATCATTGGATGGAAGATTGTCCTCTCTCTCATTCTCTCTGTATATCTAACTTTGCAATAAAAATAAATCTTTTTTAAAAAGTGGGAAAAAAAAGATAAAGGAAAGCTTTCCGGCTCAGTGTATTGCTCTAGTCCCACAGGGAAAATGATACAGGCTTTGGCATATTATGGGTCAAAATAGGTCTGGGTGGCCCTCAGACCTAATGGCCAACAGGTTCTGGCAAGATCAATACCACAACAACCTACTTATTTACCATACTGGTGTCTCCCTCATCACGGGAACTGCTCAAACCAGAAGCGGGAGAAAGGTTGCTTAGACAATGGTGCAACCACAGCATGGGACCATAGGAGGTGGAGAGCATGGGAAAGCAGCAGAGCATGGCTCAAAGCCTTGGGACCCTGCACCTACGTGGGAGACCCAGAAGCTCCTGGCTCCTGCCTTCAGATCAGATCAGCTCTGGCCATTGCACCCGCTTGGGGAGTAAACCAGTGACCAGAAGATCTTCCTGTCTGTATCTCCTTCTCTCTGTATATCTGACTTTGTAACAAAAATCTTAAAAAAATAAATCTTTTAAAAAAATTCTGTGGAAAGTCTCAATATTAGAATGAATGAGGCAGAAAAAAGAATTTCAGAATTGGAAGATATTTCTTGCCACAATGGTGAAACAATCAAAAAAAAAACTGGAATAGGAACTCAATTAAACTAAGAAAAATATCCATGAATTAAAGGACATTATAAAAGGTCAAATAATAAAAGTTATAGGAGTTAAAGAAGGATCAGAAAGAGCAGCTCAGTTTAAAGCTGCATTCAATATAATAATAAAAACTTCCCTAATTTGGAGGAAGAATTGGGAAACCATACAAGAGGGGCACAGGACACTCAGCAGGATTGATGAAAAGCGATCGTCATCATGACACATGATAATCACACTCGCTTCAGTCGAACCATAAGGAAAATACCCTTCAATGTGCACTTGAACTGGCAAGCACACACAAGAATCAGGCCTGGGATCACCTCAGACGAAGTTTCTTTGGAGATCCTTCCAACTGAACTGCCGCTCTTAGAAACCCAACCATGAAGAGACTATGTCAGCCACTGGATTCTGAAAAGATTTCATCGCAATTGGAACGGTGAGACTGGCAGCAATTTAGACTTGTTGAACTATCAAAACTGCTTGAGCAGAACCCTCAGAGTGTACCTCACATCGGGGACCTGGGATGGGTGGGAGGCTGGGTTAGGCTTCTCCCCTGACCTCAGATACAGGGGGAAAAAGTGAGGATATTAGTGTGGAAACAATGGTCTTACCCACTTTCCAGTAGCCCTTGACCCTTTGTGCCCTAATCAACTAAGTAAGATTATCAAAATAAATAAATAAATAAGTTTTAAAAATGTGCACTTGAAAAATCAATTGACACATACAGGAATGGTAATTAGATTCACAGCTGACCTCTCACAAGAAACTCTACAGGCTAGAAGAGAATGAAATAACATATTCCAGATTCTAAAAAGCACAACTTGTTGGCCCAGATTAATGTACCCAGTAAGGTTTCCTATTCGTTTGTTTCTGAGTAGCCCCAGAGTTCACTAAGGTAAAAGACATCAAGAAAATTCTTGAGAGATTACCCACAATACATTGATGATACCTGGTAATGCAATTCTATTTTCTCTATGGTTATTTATTTTTCATTTATCCCATAGCATATAAGTTTTTACTTCTGAGAAATCTGCTGCTTGTCTTTTTCCTTATCCTATGAATGAAGCTCCTATCTCGGAGAGGTTGTACAATCTCCCACTGTCTGTAGCACTGAAGTGTGGCAATGTTTGCATCCACTGCTTCGGTCTCTCCAGAGGCCTTTGAATCCAAAACTCATCATTCATTTCTTAAAATTGCTAGTTGATGACTTACTATCCTCAGTTTCCTTTGTCCTCTTTCTGAAAATCCTAAATTAAATCTTAAATTAAGTTGTTACTGTTTTTGCTTTCAATTTTTTTTACATGTTTCAATTTTTTTTTACATTTTTTACATTTTTACATTTTTTCTTTGAAGATTGCCTCTGTTTTACTTTTTAAAATTAGGCTTCCATTTACATTTACTTATCAATAATTTATTTTCCAGTAGCTCATATTTTTGTTCTTGTTCCTTTTCAAGCAGTGTCCAATCTAATTCATCAGAGTAAGAATTCTTTTTTTGTCCTTCAGAGAAATGTTTTAAAAAAAGAATCGTTTTTACAAATATTCTCCCTACATAAATTCTACTTCCTGACATGCATTTGCTTCTGTGCTTACATCCGCCATGTCTCATGTTTCCATCCTGAAATGCTTGATGATCTTTTGCCATCTGCTCAGAGGGAGCAGTGCACATTAAAGTTCGTTTGTATTTGGAAACGTGGGGGAGCTTGTCAAATATGTGGTCTTCATCCTTGTGCGCCTGGCCAAGCCATGCCTTGGCCATCTCTCAGTACTCCTTTTTCCCCACTTAGGCCAATGCTTTCTGAGAGGAACAGGAGACGGCAGAGGAGGATTGCAATATTGAGAATAAAAACATTCAGCCTTCATTTTCACTTCAGTACCACCCCACATGGAGGGGTCCTGTGCTTTCCAGTGCAGCAATGCACTTTTTGCTTGATTTTTTTAAAAAGAAAATTAACTTTCAATTTTTCATGGCATGGATAAGGGGTGGAAGATGTATAGCTATTTATTTTGCTTAGTCCCATCTTCTTTGGTATTTACAATTTCTACCAAGATCTGAAACACCGAGGGGATCTGTAACGTGAATTAGGCTACATTCAGCTTTTGCCGGTGCTAGCAGAGCATCTCGTTTTCTTAAGCCTGTTAAGTTATTCAACATTCAGCAAGTATCCAGCTTCCAAAATCTGCCTGTCATTTTTGCTTAACTCCCTGCTTTCTGCCCATGAACGTCAATGTCTTTTTAGGAAGTTCCTTTATTATCAGTGAGATTTAGGGAGGAACTGAAACTAACTGTATGTGTTTACACTTCTGCTTTTCAGTGGAAATTCCACAAGTACACTTTGTAAAAGTGGGCTAATGAAATGTGGATGCATTAACTTTTCCCATACAGAAGAAGTGGCAAAAATAACTGTTTCACTAGTTTGTGGAAGGATTTCTTTCAAAAATAACTTAATTTGCAAGCTTAGAACCAGAAAGCTGAAGTTGTCCAGTTAGGTTCTATATATTTTCTCAGGTGGTTTAAAAAGTGATTCATAGTTTATTGAAGGATTCTTTTCTTTGGGTCATTCAAGCAAGTGCAACAATTGAGAATCTTTCCAAAAGAGATAACAATCATGATATTAAAAACATCATTTAGTGGGGCAATAGCATGGCATAGTGGGCAATACTGCGGTTGCAACACCGAAAACCAACATGAGCACCAATTTGTGTGCTGGCTGCTCCACTTCCTTTATTTTTTAAGATTTATTTTATTTGTGTTGGAAAGGCGGATATATAGAGAGGAGGAGAGACAGAGAGGAAGATCTTCTGTCCGATAGTTCACTCCCCAAGCAGCCGCAACGGCTGGAGCTGAGCCAATCTAAAGCAAGGAGCCAGGAGCCAGGAGCCTCTTCCGGGTCTCCCACGTGGGTGCAGGGTCCCAAGGCTTTAGGCCATCCTGCACTGCTTTCCCAGGCCACAAGCAGGGAGCTGGATGGGAAGTGGAGCTGCCGGGATTAGAACCAGTGCAAATATGGGATCCCGGTGCGTGAAAAGTGAGGACTTTAACCACTAGGCTATTGCGCTGGGCCCAAGGTTGCTCTACTTCCAATCCAGTTTCCTGTCAACAGCCTGGGAATGGTAGTGGAGAAATACCAATGTATACTTGGGTCCTACCGCCCATGAGGGATATTCGGATGAAGCTCCTGCTCCTAGCTTCACTCTGGCTCAGCCTTGGCCTTGGGAAGTAAACCATGTCACTTTTTTCCCACAGTCTTTCTGTCTACCTCTGCCGAATGAATGAATGAAGAAATCTATTTTTTTTTAAAAAGAGACCAAAAAGTCAAAATACCCCAGAACTGACAGTTGTCCTTAAAACGCCTTAAGGACCTACACAGTATCTCTGACTTGTCCCATTTCAAAAATAACCTTTTTTTAAACTTGGTACTTTTGCCAGGAGTTAAAGTTCAGAATAAACCCACTTTAAAGCCATTTTTGGAGTTTGAGAAGTCTATTTCTTTTCGCAATGAGGAACTCTGCTGGTTTCATCCTTTTTCTCACATTGCAAATCCTGAGAATTCTGCCACTGAGTCATTGTGTCACTTCACAGAAGTGATGATCACATCTCTAACTCGGAATTTAAATGTGATGATCAATTATATGAGAATAAAATGAATTTACCTGTCAAGTGTATAAAAAAAGTACTAAAAAAAAAAAAGCAAGGAATATTTAAGAAACCCAATGTCTTCTCTAGAAAGAATTGAGTTGAGAAAACAGCTGTTAGCAAAGTTTGTCAAGTAGAAATTGTCCTGGAGACAACACAACATGATGAACTATGTGCTACCCCAGGAGTTAATTCTTTATGTGTTCTTAGCACAACTATCACAAGCCTTGACAATACCTCTACCTTGATCCTTCCCGCCTTTGTATCTCAAAGAAAGAGAATGACTTTCATGTAAGTCATTAATTTGATTATTTCTTCCCACTTTCTAATATATGTGAAGTAAATTTGGACACTGAAATATCAAAAAATAGCCTTAACAATTATTTGTGAATTTTGAACACCTTTCTCTTCTGTAATTATTTTACAGTAAATCAAAATTTAAAAATTAAAAAAAATCATTTAATATTTCACCAAAAGGTTTTAAGCTTAACATAGTAAGATTAAGTTTGTTCAGCAAGAATCACAACTTTTCTTTGCTTTAAACATGGTAGGCAGTTTTATGATTCCTGAAGCAAAATGAATAGACGTAAGTTCAGGAAATCTTTTACAGTTAGATACACATAATGCCTTTGGCGAACAAGTTAGCAATTTTAGGTACAGTCCTGTACTATGGTCTACTGTATTTATGGCTACTTACTTTGAAAGAAATTTGTTGAATCTCTTCAAATCCAGACAGACAGTTGGTAATATCAAAATGTAAACTATTTACGATTATACAGGAAATCAGAACAAAGGACCTCCTGCTTGAAACTAAACTGGTACAACTTTTATTTATGCGCTCAGTTTCCTTCTCTATTATTAGGTTAGGTAAGAGTGTATGTTTAAAATGCATTAAGTCCTTTCTCATGTGAAGTATTTTAAGATCTACAATATCTAACTTGGGATATTTTCAGATGACGAAAATTCTCTTCACACAAAAATAAGAAATGTTGGCTAACATGCGAAGACATTAAATAAATAGTAGGAAAAATAGCTGTACTCAAAGCCTAAGATCTTTTTACTGCTATTCCATGCAGCTTACTTAACAATGTAGGAATGCAACCACTTCCCTTGCAAAGGACTGCTGTGAGCCCACATAATCTAACATGGCAACGAGAGGACACAAAGTACTTCCAACACTGTGTCCTCCTTACAAAGATTTGAGAGTTAACATAAATAATGAATCTGAACAGTTAAAGGTAGGAAGACTACCACAGGCCATTGGTACTCTGATGTTAGATTGTTACTGACACCTAGTGGGCCTCAAATGCTACAGACAAGTCGAGGGGAGGAAAAAAAAAACCAGTTTACAATTTATAAGATTATTAATCTATTTTCAGTAAGTCCTGTGGTCTGAATTAGTTTACTGTGAGTGAGTAGTAGGGTTTCCCATATGTGTTTTTGCATTTTTTATTGTTTTTATTATTTTCCATTATATGGTCTTATAGACCTTATATGCTATTATCTTTAATGCACTCACAACCACTTGTACAACAAGCACTCAGGGCTGAAAACACGTGCAGGTATCTTCTCTGTCTTGCTGCCCTACAGACTGTTCCTGGTGGGAATCCTATAACCTTGGCCATTTCTTTTTTTGTTATGTTTATTTTTGCTTTTTCCTATAGTCTTAGGAAAGAACACGGTGGGTTTACAGGAAAACCCCACCAGTTATTTCGAGGCCCACTACAGATTCTCAATTTGTACTTAATTATAAAACATTTCTAGAATGTTCTTTGCAGTTTGATACTAAATTTCATGACTGCACACAAGAGATAAAAATACAATGGCCTATACAGTTCACTAAAACATCTTATCTTACTAATAACAAAACTAGGTATTTATGAAATACACATTTAGTGCCCCTAACCAAAGTAACACTGTACCTTTTAAAGTATGGGTAAGAAAGCTATTCTTAGATCTATTGTTTCTAGCATGCAAAAGGAAAAAAAAATACACCCACATAGCAGACATTAGAAAGTTTGAAAAAGTTAAGAACTGATAATGTATCGTAATTCACCCTTGTTAAGGTGAATAAGAATGATCCTCTCACAATTGGAAATTTTTGATCTGGCCATCAAGATTCTACAATAAGGACCATTCAACTTAATCTATTGCTTCATGTGCCACCAGACAAAGCAATTTTAAGGATGAACCAACCTATAATAATTATTTAGACAAATAACAGATCATCAAAAATCATCAACAGTTTATAGCAGTTTATATTTAGTTTATAGCACTAAATAGTTAAAAGTTGCATACCTTGCCACTGGGCTATGTATGAACCTATGGTAAGACTCTTAAAAGATCATGTCTTTCAGCTTTAACTTAGTCATGGACCGTAAAGTCTAACACTTGCCCCAAACTTCAAACATGTGCTCTTGGTGCTTAGACAGAAACATTTGCCATAAATGAAAAGTATTTTCTGGATTTTTCATATAGAGTGTACAAAGATACAAACATCTTATATATATATATAAACTAATCTTAGTAGTAAACACAGCAAGGTATTGGATACTTACTGTACTTTTTTTCTGACAGCAGAAATAAACGGAAACAAGAGGAAAAGAGACAATCATATGATAAAATATAAAAAAGGAAATCATATGAGTAGAAAGAAGCAAAGGCTAAACATATACAGTGCTTTGTGATGTACCTTGAAGCCAGTCTACACCTTCTTGCAATCCTTCTCCTTTTATGGCATCACTAGCACTGAAATAAAATCAGCAAGAACACAGCCATTTCATTACATCTTTCAGTCATACGAATGAAACGTTAAAATTTCACCATGTTACAAATTCCTACATTCTGGGAATATGTACTGATAAAGTATCAAGATTGAATACAAACAAGAATAAGAATCTGTGTGCCCAGGAGCGAGACATGAAAAAATTATCCACAATTTGTATTGACATCTTGAAAAGTACATCATTAAAAGGTTACTATTCTAAGAATAGTACTTACTGATTGGCATTAATACATATGTATATATTATATAATTATATACACACACACACATATCTTTGACTCATCTTTCCAGTGGTAAAAAAATTTAGTCTATAGTCATATTCTGCTCAGACCCAATAATTAAAAAGGCATTTACTTGTTAGATTGACTTAAGTTGTAAAAGATCTATGGGATGGAATTTTTGATCTGACATGACATTTGACATATATAAGACATAAAGCATTATTTGTACTTTTGGTAAGCTAATAGAATAAAATTTTAAAAATCTGATATTTCAAAACTCTTTTTTTAACATATACAGTGAGTTGTTTTACGTTAGAACTTTGGGTCAGGATAAATAAATGTCATTAAGTAAAAACAACCTCTCTGTCCTACCTTCCTAAGGGAAAAATAAAATGCCTAAGGAAAATTCTAGAATTCTTAGTGTTTTTCCCTCTACCATTCTCTGCAAAACTCTAATATTTCAATCTAGTTTTACCTTTATTAGCTGTAGGAACTGGCTGAGTTATTTACTTCTTTTGGTTTCTGTTTTAGCTTCTATATAATGAGCAAATGCTGTCATTGTTTTGTATGGTTATTGTGAGAACTATAAATCTGAGGGCTGTGTGTGTGTGTGTGTGTGTGCCTGCGCACGCACTTGTGTAAAGCACCTAAGAGAGGGCCCTCTGTGGCATTCCAGTTTTAAAAGAATAAGTTTAAGTTGTATTATGGTATTTCTATATAATCATAATTTGATTATACAAATAAAAATACAATGTTTAAGACCTTGCGTATCAAATGTTTTTTAGACTGATAGTTTCTCTTAACACAATATATAGTAATTTCTTTTGAAAAATGCAATGACTGTATAGCAGTAATTTAATGTACATATATTCATGTATATGAAAGCAAATTTTCTGATTCAATAGGGTTCCTATTATTCTGCTAAAGCATGAATTTAAAATGTGGTGAACTATGTAAAAACTTAATCTAATTCTAATCAAAGGAAAAATTAATTACAGGCAATTTCTTATTAGACTAAGAATATAGCTTATAATTTTTTTAAGTAGGAAAGAAGAAAAAAGTGTGAAATAAATCTAATTACTCAAATTACTATTTACAGCAATAGCAAAACAACAGCAACCGAAATATTTAATGCCTTGATTTTATTACATACTTACAGTTCAAGGAGGTAACACAATGAAAAAAAATCCCCCCCCCCATACAGATTTCATTACTCTGACAAAAACCCTGCAATTTTCCCTACTAAGTCCCAAAAATCTGTATCATATTTTCCCTCTCACATAAGCCAGCAGAACTGTAACTACAATAAATGCAGTCTTCACTGGCTCTTCAAATGCCCTGTGATTGTCTTGTATATTTCTCAACAGCCGTACTGCCTAATTTCCTCTAGATCGTCACTGTCAGCCTGGACTTTCTGCTGTTCTTAGAACACGTCAGGTAAGGCTCTTGGACTAACAAGAGCTTTTCCTCGCTGGTCTCTCTATCTGCACTGCCATTCCTACCAACTTTTTAAAAATTAATTATTACCTAGCTTCAATTTAGTTTCAGATATGGAAACGTTCTTATTCCTTTCCTTTTTGCCCTGTTCTATTTTTGTCGCACAGATAGCTGACTCATTATGCAAGCACATTTATTTACTTACCATCCGTCTCTCTCACAAAATAACAAATCAGTAATCACATACATATCAGAGAGTGAGTCAAATACAAGAATAATGCAGCAAGACCCTGAAATCCAGGGGTGACTATGTTTAGGACAGTGCAAAAACATCAACCAGAAAAGCTTTCCTTGAATTTTCCAGACTATATTCTCCATGGCCTTTTCTTGACTGCGAGGTGTCTTATCTGCACCTAACGCATGAGGCTAGGAATCTGTTATCTCTCAATCATTGAGCCTTACCTTCATTTCTAAAACTGGAAAAGGATGTATTTTCAAGTTTATGTATTTTAAAAAATATTGCCAAAAACATCCCAATAAATGAAACACTAATTTGAATTTAGTGAAGGGGTGTCTAGTTTGAATCAAAGACAAGTCAAAATTGTAGACAATTATGAAAAACCTTGGTAATCTTTTATAAGTCATACCGAAAACACTGAAAGTGGCAATATAATATTTTACACATCCTTAAAGCATTGGGATATCAACTTTCTCTCAAAGAAAAAAGCTGAGGTGTCACATTTGAATAAATGAATCTTTTACACTACAATCAATAATTGCTTTAAGTAGAAACATCTTTTACTAATCAGATCCATGTTTTTGGGTGTTACACTTTCTAAGTGGTTACAATTCATCAGCAATGAAAAAAACTGATGTACAGAGGGTTGGCTTTGTGACACAGTGAGACACTTTTGAGTTCCAGCCGCTCCACTTCTGATGCAGTTTCCTTCCAATGGGCCTAAAAGTATTTGGGAAGATGGGCCAAGTACTGGAGACCCCTGTCACTCAGGTGGAAGTCCCTGAAGGAGTTCCAGACTCCAGGCTTCCGCCTGGCCCCGCACTGGCCATTTTGGCCATTGAGGGATTGAACTAGAGGCTAGATCTCCTTTGCTGTCCCCTTCTATCTCTGCCTTAAATAAGTAAATAAACTTTTCAAAAAAACAGTCTATGTAAAGTAACTCTAAAAGGCAGCAGCGTATTTAGGTATATTTTAGAGAAACATAAGGTATTTTTGTATCCAAAATCTCACACCTCCTTATCAATAAACTAGCAGGATCTCAAATTCTAGAACCGTTGATGCTGAGGTTTCCTCTGACTGTACAGTAAGGCACGCTTCATTGTTTCATGCCTGGCTTGAAACTTTGAAGAGTCAGGGCTTCCTCAAGCTCTGTGCTACGCCATTACTCTTTTAAGCAGCAACTCCAGCTCCAGCTCTGAAAATCATTTTGTGAACTCTACTACTTCCTTACTTATCTTCTGATTGCCTGTCCTGGGAGAGTGGATTTCCACTCTCCCCACTGTTACCTTCTTTTAAAAGGAGGAAGATTCAGAGAAAAGAAGCATCTATAATAGCTGAGAAACACAGATGGGTAAAATGGAGCTTAATAAGGTGGTGGCAGAAGCTTAAATTCCAGCGGTCACCTTTAGTTAAAATAGTTGGAATTCTTTGGTAGAAAGGAATGTTGGAATTAAAAACACTAGTTAAGAAACTTTTCCAAATTAAAAAAAAATAAATAACGACTTTAATCTCAAGGCTATTTCCAAATAAAATATACTTAATTTCTATTTACTCATTTAAAAATACAATTACTGTATATCTATTATGTACCAGGTATTGTCACTATTGCCAGGGTTACAGAAGTGAACAACACTGACAAGATCCCAGGCTCTTAAGGAGCTAATGAGTTGATGTAGAAAGACACATTACAAATACACATATATCATACACATCTTATAAACATGTCACGATAGTCGGTCTGCGGAAGAATGTAAAATAAGCTAGGAAAATGATTTTGGCAAATGGTTCAGACAGGGAGGACACCAGCACGGACGGAGCTCAGCCGACTGCACATGCAGAAGGAAATTCGGGAAGACCAGGAGAGTAACTAGGTTGATTTAAGTTATCCTATGAGGGTTATCTGGATTTTCTGTCTCCCAAGAATTCCGAAAGGTTTCAAAGTAATATATTAATGTAAATCTATAATGGTATAATTCTTATGAAACAAAATCTTTAGTCTATTTGCTATGTTCAAATACTTAAAAAAAATGAAGTTAGGGGGAAAAAAAAAGACACCAAATTTCCCATGCTTGGAATTTTTCAAGTAAATATAAAACTTTACCAAATATGCCATGGCTTGTCTTTGATGTTCTCTAAACACAGCAACTGAGACACTTTCACAGAAGTCACTGCATCTCTAAGATCCATTTTGTTTGCAAAGAATAAGATGGGAATTCGACGGTGTTTAATATCTACAAGAGAAAATAAGACTCTTACCACACTTTCAGTTTTGGGTAACTTTGCACTAAATTGTTCAAGTTAAAATCCACCAAGTTGTGCTCGCTTAGGCAGCATATATATTAAAATCCACCAACATATTTTCCACCCACTTCTTTCTATATTGCAAAAACATATGCATTTAATGATACATACTTTTGGAAATGCATTTGAACAATAAAAAAGTCCTTCCCACAGACCATTTACCCTCTAGTTAGGAGCTTTAAAGCAGGGGTGGAAGAGGGAGACTCAATGAGAAGTTCTGGAGAAATCGGTACACGAAAGGGCCAAATATTTATGCCATTTTTAATACGAACAAAAAGAGGGAAAACTTATGTAGGAGAAGGAAAACTGCTTCCTGACTGTAGATTTCACAGAAGCAAGCTACTCTCAGAAGACTAACATGTTTGCTTTACTACAATTTGAAAAATTTTTCATTATTTTGAATAATCATACATCTTAAGCAGTTTAGATTTTGAAAGACACAAAATGATACACAGAAAAACAATCTCCCTCCTCCTGCCTTTGTCCTGGGCTATTTGATCACCCTCTGTGAGACAGGGAACCCCTCAACATAAATAAGCTGGTAGAAATATTAATAGAAATATTTTATATATTTCCAAACATAATTGGTAGTGTCATTCTTCATTTTTTTTAAAGATAAAAAGAGCTCTGGAATATATTTCTTTTAGTACAATGTGTCATAATTTATTTAGCCAGTACCTAATGGATATTTAGTCATATTTGTGATGAATCTTTATAACTAACAGCAATGCTATAATGAATAAACTTGCATGTAGGTCATTTCGGTTGAGGCATGTATGTCTGTGGGATAAATTAAAGTGGGGGCCCAGCGCAATAGCCTAGTGGCAAAAGTCCTCGCCTTGCATGTACCAGGATCCCATATGGGCGCCAGTTCTAATCCCGGTAGCTCCACTTTCCATCTTGCTGCCTACTTGTGGCCTGGGAAAGCAGTTGAGGACGCCCCAAAGCCCTGGAACCCTGCACCTGTGTGGGAGACCCGGAAGAGGCTCCTGGCTCCTGGGTTTGGATTGGCTCAGCTCCAGCCACTGTGGCCTCTTGGGGAGTGAATCATCGGATAGAAGATTTTCCTCTCTGTCTCTCCTCCTCTCTGTATTCCATCTTTCCAATAAAAACAAATAAATCTTTAAAAAAAATTAAGGAAGTGGAATTGCTGGGTCAAAGGGCATGTACATTACTATTTTGATAGATAGTAATGACCTTTCATTAAAATGTGTGTCATTCTACACCTCAGAAGCCATATATAATAATGAGTGTTCCCATTTATCTCAATCTTCTTGCTAAAACAGTGTTAGTAAGCTCTATGATCTTTTCCTTATGAGAGGCAAAAAAGCATTAACACAATGTCTTTACTTGCATTTATCTGAGAAAGGTCGAGTCCACATATTCAAAAGATTCTTAAAACTTACTTTGTTGTTATTGTTGAATTGCCTCCTCATCCTTTTCCATTTTCTATTAAGATTTTATTTCCTTGTAGATTTATAGCAACTCAAATAGGTCAGAAATAAGCCCTCTTGTTATGAGTTGCAAATCTTTTCCCTTGCTTATAATTTGACTGTTCAGGGGCTATTTTTTCTATTTAGATTTTTTATGGCCTTCACTTTTTTTTTTATAAAAAGTTCTTTATATACTTCAGTTTTGAAATCACTCTCTTGAGAATTTATTCCATAAAATAAAAATGTCAGAACCTGAAGATTCCTGAACAAAGCTGCACTAGAAGAAACCATTGTTTCTTTTAAAGTCAAAGCAGATTTTATAGCAACTATTTCATCTTATTGGGAAACTCTCCAACACTTTTTAGACAGAGCATGAAGATTAGCCAAAGAGAATGCATAATCAAAAACATTCTCAACACAGATACAAGGCTGATACATTTTTAAAGAGAAGTTATATAAAAGGTACATACTGGATTTTTTTTAAGTTGAATTGATTTGTGGCTGTTAGATAAAAACAAAGAATTACTATGGATATACACTAGGAATGTCTAAAAAACCTACACTACTTTCATCTTTATTTTTAACAAATCTAATCTTTTAAGCCGCCATCGTTTACTCAAAGCCATAGCACAGAGACTACTTAAAATCCTTTGGAAATGAGTAAAGCTAGAAATGCAATTACACAGTACTTATTTCAGAACTGTTTTTGTTGGGAGAAGGGAGGAAGAACAATATCTACCAATAGGTGAAGGTTGGATGAATGTAGTACACGCCAGAAGAGCAGTCTATCAGGCACCATGAAAAGGAACGTACAAAAGTATATTCAATTTGACTGGGAAGGATTTCCATTATGCAGTTTCGATTGAAAATCAGAAAACACATAAAAGTTAAGGAATGTAACTGCATGTTGATAAATGACAATGACAGTCTAAAGGCTCAATATTCTAGCCTATAGATTTTAATGTACATATACTTATATATATATATATAGACACATAGATTTACTCTTTTAAAAAATGTTTATTTTACTTGAAGGTTAGAGTTACAGAAAGAGAGGGAGAGACAGAAAAAGTGACCTTCTATTCACTGGATGGACTGAATGGCCAGAACTGGGCTGATCTGAAACTGGGAGCCAGGAGCTTCTTCTGGATCTCCTACATGGGTGCAGGGGCCCAAACACACCTAGGCAATCCTCTGCTGCTCTCTCAGGCCATTACCAGGGAGTTGGGTTGGAACTGGAGAAGTCAGGATTTGAACTGGTGCCCATATGGGATGCTGGCACTGTATGTAGAGTATTATCCTAATATATTACCACACCTGTCCCATTTATTTACTCTTTGTATATAAAGTTAGCTTGAGAGAATTCCTACAACATATATTTAAGAAATGCTATCATAAAACACACATTGAACAATGCAAAAAAAGGTTTTAACCAAAACAATTCTAATGGATGTTGTAATACATGTAGTTTTGCTTTATTGTTGTTGTTATTATGACTTGAAATGCAAAGACACAGAAAAAAGAGACAGTTCTCATCCGCTGGCTCTCTCCCCAAAAGGCTGCGTGTGGGCCAAAGTTGGAGACAGGACCTAAATCAAGATCTCACATTTGGGTGACAGAAAGTCAATTACTTAAGCCATCCCTGCTGCTTCCAGGATCCTGCATTGGGAGGAAACTGGCAGAGCAAGTCAGAGTAATGCACCAAACTGGGGCATCCACCCCCAAGCTATTTTGCTATTTGCACACATTTACCTATAATATGAAAGAAAAGCAAATTTAGTTTTAGGAAATAAATGTTGAATATGCAACAAAAACTGCAAAAAACATCTTGAAATATTAAAAAGTTGGTCATTTGGTTTGGACTAGTACAGCACATACTAATCCTCTGCCTATAGTGCTGGCACCCCTTATGGACACTGGTTTGTGTCCTGGCTACTCCATTTCGGATCCAGCCCTCTTCCATCAGCTGGGAAAGCAGCGGAGGATAGCTCAGGTCCTTGGGCCTCTGCACTAATGTGGGAAACCTGGAAGAAGCTCCTGGCTCCCAGCTTTAGACCTGCACAACTCTGGCCATGGTGGCTTCAGGGAAAACTGAACCAGGGGATGGAAGATCTCACTCGGTATTTCTCCCCCTGCCTCTCTGTAATTCTGATTTTCATGTAAAATAAATACAGCTTTAGTTTTGTTTTTTTAGGTTGGTCATTTGGTAACAGTGTTATAAATTAGACAAAGTTTTGTTTTTTTTAATTCAAAGTTTTACAACAAAATTTAACAAAGTAAGCAACACTTTTTTGCTGATACCAATGATCAAAAATCATAAATAGATGAATCCCAAAGTACACACATATTACAGAGTAAAGACACATACCTGGATGATTCAAAAGAGTATCAAGTTCTTCTTTGGCCACCACCATTCTTAGTTTATCACTACTGTCAATGACAAAAATAATGGCTTGTCCTTCTCTAAATAATATAAAAAGAAAATTCAAAGGTACATTTAGAAAAATCACCCCATTTATTGTCCATCTTCATTTCCTAACATATATTATCTCTTCATGGTCATATTCAGTTATCTTTAGAATTTTTGGTATTGTCTCTTATCACTTTATATGAAAAATTAAATATCTACCATTTGTCATATTGCATGTAAAAATCTTTTCACTGGAAAGAAAAGATGGTAAATGAGTAATTAATTTTTGTTTAAAAATTTGCGTATAAAATGGGGAAAAGACCATAACCTCATGACACAGATAATAAGTTGCATTTCTGGAAAAATCAGCTGATACTTTTTACATATTCCCATATGAAAACACACATCTGTAATTAAAATGAAATTCATTTGTCTTATGTTTCCATTGACACATAAAAATTTCATTTTAAAAAACCGATAGGGCCCGGCGCGGTGGTGCAGTGGTTAAGGTCCTCGCCTTGCACGCCCGGGATCCCATATGGGCGCCGGTTCTAATCCCGGCAGCCCCGCTTCCCTTCCAGCTCCCTGCCTGTGGCCCGGGAAAGTAGTCGAGGACAGCCCAAGGCTTTGGGACCCTGCACCCGCGCGGGAGACCCGGAAGAGGCTCCTGGCTTTGGATTGGCATAGCATCGGCCGTTGTGCTCACTTGGGGAGTGAATCATGGGACGGAAGATCTTCCTCTCTGTCTCTCCTCTCTGTATATCTGCCTTTCCAATTAAAAAAATAATAAAAATAAATCTTAAAAAAAAAACTGATAGTTTGAACTGCTCCTATATGATGCCCTTAAGTCACATACCAATGTTTTTCAGATGTTTTTAGCCTAGTGTGTCGTCTACGGCCATACTACCCTGAATGCGCCTGATCTCAGATGTTTTTAGCCCAAAGCTACAATGAAAAATACATTTTATGTTGAAATCTGTCAACAGATGTATATTTCAAATAATTTTTTCTCAAAATACTTCAGAATATGTTTTATTTTGTCCTATAACAAGATATTCAGGGTGTTGTTTTTTTTTTTTTCTAATTTTTTTGGAAGGTGAAATTATGGAGAGGAGAGACAAAGAGAGAAAAGCAGAGAGAGAGAGACATTTTCTACCCACTGATTCATTCCTTAGATGGCCACAATGGCCAGAATGAGCTGATCCAAAGACATAGCCTGGGACTTCTTCCAGGTTGCCCAAGAGGTTACAGGAGCTAAGGCCTTGGACCATCCTTTGCTGTTTTCCAAGGCTGTAAGCAGGTACCTGGACCAGAAGTGGAGAAATGGAGCAGCTGGAACTTAAACCAGAGCCCATGTTGGATGCAAGCACTTATAGGCACAAGCTTAACCTACTACACCATCAGCCTCATCTACTGAAATTTAATGTAACATTTAATAAATCAGTGCTTCTTCTATATCTTTTTATGATTATTTAATATTCTACTGCATGGTCAGATCACCAAATAAACACCTATTCATGCATCAACAACATTCCCTTTGAAATACAAAAATTTTCAACAAAACACATGCAAAGCAAATCCAACATTATACCAAATGTAACAATCAAGTGGGATTTAACCCAGAGGTAAAGGAATGGTTGAATTTATAAAAATAAATGAATATAATACATCATATCAACAGAATGAAAGACAAAAATGTTATAATTGTCCAATCAAATTCCAAAAAGCATTTGATGGAATTCAAACCATTTCCTAATTAAAAACTTTTAAAAAGTATAGAAGGATCATGCCTGAACATACTGCAGGCCATGAATGACAAACTCACAGCCAAAATCACAAAATTTTTCAGCTTTTCCTTTAAGATCTAGAACTACATGACAATGTAGACCATCACTGCTTGATTTTGACAAGTACTGGAAATCTGAGCCAGAGCAATAATCAATAAACGAGAAGCACATGAAAAGCAATAAAAGGAATACAAAAAAGGAGGGAAAGAAATCAAACTATTCCTGTTTGCAGATGATACAATTCTATCTATCAAAAAACTTAAAGATTATGCCAAAAGACTATCAGACCTAATAAATTCAGTAAAATTACAGGATGTAAAAAGGAATATGCAGAAATCAGTAGCATTTTTATACAACACATATTGAGATTTTTTTCTCACTACAGTATCACACTATCTGAGACAGGCTACTTCATAAAGAAAAGAGGATTTTTAAGTTCATGCTTATGGAAGTGCAAGGTCAAGACAGCCTACCATAGGCTCTTGCAAGAGCCCCCTTTCAGTAGAGGATGGCTAAGTGCCTGGGCCCCTGCACGCCCTGGAAGAAGCTCCTGGGTCCTGCTTTGGCATTGCAGCCATCTGGGGAGTAAAACAGTGAATAGATGATGATCTTTCTGTCTCCGCCCCATCGTCTGTAACTCTGCCTTTCAAAAACAAGTATTCTTTAGAAAATAATCAATTGAAGAAAATTTTAAAAAAGAAAAGATCTCTCATATTCATAGATTTGAAGAATTAAATTTATTGTTAAAACATCTATATTGCCTAAAGCAATTTACAGATTCTGTGCAATCCCTGTAGAAATACCAGTGCCATTCTTCACCAATCTAGGAACAGCAACCCCATAATTCAAATGAAAGCAAAAAGACCCCAAATTACCAAAACAATCCATAATAAAAAGATAAAAGTATCACAGTACCTTATTTAAAGACATACTACAGTTGTAGTAGCCAAAACACATGGTACTAACATAAAAAGACACATACCCCAACAGACCTCAATACAGACCCCAGAAATGAACCCATACATCCATAATCAACTGATTATCTATAAGGTGTCAAACATACACAACAAAGAATCAGCCCCTTCAACTAAAGGTGCTATGAAAACTGGGCATCAACCTGCAGACAACCGCAAACCACCCCTTCCTTCCCAACTGCTCTCCCTACACAAAAATTAACTCAAAATGGATCAAAGATGGATATAAACCTAAGATTTGAAACTATGAAACTATTAGAAGAAAACATAAGGGAAATACGTTGAACAATGCTTTTTTGCATGACAGCCCAAAAGCACAGGCAATAAAAGCAAAAATAGACAAAAGTGATTGTATAAGACTAAGAAGCTTCTACATAAAGGAAATAACTATAGACAAAGACAACCAAAGTAAAGGGAAAATCTTTTCCAACTATTCATTTGACATATGGTTAATACTCAGAATATATAAGAAACTAAAAAAAAAAAAAAGACAACACACAGTCAAGAAATGGGAAAAGAGTGTCAATAGGGGTTATATGGCATAGCAACGTAAGCTGTTGCTTCAGATACCCCTATTCTATCTGGGACAGCCTGGGCTGAGTGGCTATTACATAGTTTCTCATCTTGGAAGACCCAGATTGAGCTTTGGATGCCTGACTTTGGCCTAGCTCAGTCCTGGCTCTTAGAGGTATTTGGGGAATGAGTGAGCGAGTGTGAGATCTCTATCTTTCCATTAAAAAGAAAATAAAAGAACAATTATTTTTTCAAAGGTATAAAGTTATTTCTTCAAATAATACAAGTGGCAAACAAAAATATGAAAATATGTTCTGTATCATTAGCCATCAGCAAAATGCAAATTTAAACAGACCAACATAACAAAGGCTGCCAAGGATGTGGAGGAAAGGGAACTCTTCTACACAGCTACTAGGAATAGGAGTAAGTAGCCATTATAGAGAACAGTATAGAGTTTCCATTAGTACACAAAAAGGTAAAAATAGGATGCAGGAGTTATTGCACAACAAATAAGTGGCATCCAGTGACATCAGCACCCCACAGGGGCACCGGTTCAAGCCCTAGCGGAAGATGGCTCAAGTGCTTAGGCCCCCGCACTCATATGGAGAAGTTCCTGACAGTCATCTGCGGTGACTTTCTCCCTGTCTTTTACTCTCTGTACAAGTTTGCTTTTCAAATAAATAGAAATAGATCTTTTTTTATTAGGTAAAAATATATTTATCACATGATTTGAGTATTTTAGTTTGGAACACAGGGAATGACATTGGATCATCAGAGAGAAACCCGCACTTTCATGTTTACTGCAGCACCAGAGTAAATGATCCAGAATTTTTTTTTTTTTTTTACAATTTATTTATTTTTATTGCATAGGCAGGTCTACAGAGAGGAGAGACAGACCAAGACCTTTCATCTGCTGGTTCACCGCACAAATGGCCACAGCTAAGCTGATCTGAAACCAGGAGACAAGAGTTTCTTCTGGGTCTCCCACGGGTGCAGGGCCCCAAGGCTTTGGCCATCTTCTAATGCTTTCCTGGACCACAAGCAGGGAACTGGATAGGAAGTAGAACAGCCAGGACACGAACCAGCATTCCTATGGGATCCTGGTGCATTCAAGGCAAGGATTTAGCTACTAGGCTATGGCACCAAGCCCCAAATCTGGAAATCTTTAAGCACAAAGAGACTATTAAGATACTGAATTATTATTTATCTTGTTTTGATTAAATAAATGATGTGTACCTGTGGGGTAATAACATAATATACCCTATAACCATGTAAAATTATTAAATATTAAGTTTAAGAAGAAGGGAGACATTGAAAAGAGATAAGTGAAAAAGACAAAAAAGGTTTCTAAATCTAGGAAATTTGCTGGAATAAAATGAAAGCAAAAGCCCCATAACTTCAAAAGCTTGTAAGTTTATGTCTACATGTTATCCTAATAAGACACATTTTACACGATCTGAAGGTCAAGTTAGGTTTACAAAAGAAAGAAGCGAAATGTTTAATAAAACACCGTGTTTGTTTCTAAATGACTATGCTTTCTTAACATGTCAGAGAAAGAAAACATAGCCCTATAATTGTACAACGGAAATATAATTTGAAGCCCACCCAGTGAGTCAATTTTTCCAATTATTTACACACCACAGATTAATAAATGAAAACGTGAACACTAAAAATATTGTATAGAAATATTTTTAAAACAAAGTCAAAACTCTTTATGCTGTAATTACTGTTACTGTGTATTATTCACTTCATTTGCTCAGATATAAATTCACTCTATACTTCAATTATTAAATGATAAATTTTTATAAGTTAATGTACACATTTATGTTAAATCAAATAATTTACCCCAAACTGTTATAAGAAGTTAACTTATTTTTTAAGAGATTTATTTTATTCTCCTTGAAAAGTCAGATATACAGAGTGGGGGAAAATCAGAGAGGAAGATCTTCTATCTGAATATTCACTCCCCAAGTGGCCGCAATGGCCAGAGCTAAGCCAATCTGAAGCCAGGAGCCTGGAGCTTCTTCCAGGTCTCCCATGTGAGTGCAGGGTCCCAAGGCTTTGGGCTGTCCTCAGCTGCTTTCCTTGGTCAGAAGTAGGAAGCTGGATGGAAAGTGGGGCCATGAGGATTAGAACCGGCACTCATATGGGATGCTGGCACAGGCAAGGTGAGGATTTTAGCCACTAGACTACTGTACTGGGCCCATAATAACTTTTTAAAAAGATCTATTTCTTTATTTCAAAGGTAGAGTTATAGAATCAGTGAGGGAGACGAAAAGGGAGAGGGAGGAATTCAGAGTTCAGAATAAGAAGACAGAAGTTAATCACGCAATATTATTTTCAAGGTTCAGACTCCATAAGTGAGTCACGTTGATTTAGATGAAGGAATCTTAGCAGTAGCAGAAACTAATGAATTTAACACTATATGAAAATCATGAGCAAGTGTAACACAGTTGGGAGTTCAGTAACTTGGCAGTTGTTAATCTGATCCAATCAGTGAGCACTAGATTTGTGTATGTAGAAAGTCTTGTTTCAAACGGCTCACAGCATAAATAGAATAATTATTAGACAATAATGTAAACAGTACTGAGCTGTCTTTTGAAATGTAAGCTTTTGAATATTCTTAAATTATATGAAAACATTACAACCCATGTCTTACAATCATTTGGATTTATAAGCATTGTGTGCTATTAAAATACAAGCATCTATCTAAATAATAATCACAAAAATACTTACTTATAATAGTGTTCCCAGAGATTTCTGTATCTTCCTTGACCTGACATGTCAAACACTGTGAAAGACAAACTACAGACAAAGAAGCAAGTTACAATAATAACCTACCAGAAGCATAACTTTTACTTAAAATTTTAAATTGTTTCTAGTTACATTACCTTTAATATACAATATTCTGTGTGAGCCAATTTTTAAGAAAAACTCCATAAAATAAATTAAGATAACTATGATATTTTCAAAGACTGACATTATAAAATGTATTCTTTATCAGCTTGCCTAAAATATAAATTATGAAAAATAAACTAGAGGTAGTGATACAAATATGTTACTATCTGCGGGGTTTTAAAATACTGTTTTTGTTTTTTTTTTTTTCCGAGTGTGGAAGGGACAGTCACACAGATCTACCACTGCTATTTTTCACCAACAGTTTTTAATTACAGGAATGAAGTGGGTTACCTGGATGATTTGAATTTCTCTATGCTAAATCCTATTGTTGGAACTATATCTTGAGACTGTGCCTGTAAGAAAAAAAGATTTTGTGAATTTACAGTGACCAAAAATGAAGTTTTCCTCAAAGTCTGCCACTAAAGAGATAACCAGATTAAACAAAATATATATATATATTTTGTGCAACAAGATGACTGAGGATAAACTCTTTATTGAAGCTGAAGGTTTACTGATGATTACATCACATTTATGTGTTAACATTTTAAATATCATTGTAAGTTTTCAAGGGCTTTAAAGTTTTTATAAATGGTTTAGCAATAAGTTACTTGGAGTTCAAATATAGGACTTTGAATCTCTCAAGCCATACTTGATTCTATTCATGTTCTGGACTGTCCTTACATCAAGATAGTCCCTGCTGTCAAAGAGTTTATAATCTTGAGGTGGCAAACAGAAATAAGTAACAAAGAGGTACAAATGGTGCAGTGAAAGCTGCAAGTGTGCAGGCTGGGGCAGAGAGAGGCTAATACGGAATGAAACAAAGGTGCTCAGCAAAGGTTTCTTTGAGGAGGTGACATCAGAGCCAATAGTGTCAAGTGACACTATCAAGAGCTGACAAGTTGCTGGCAAGGAACATGGCAGTAAGGCAGGAAAGGACTTGCTTCTCAGGAAAAGAAAAAAGTCTAAAAATCTAAAGCACATTGAGTAAGTGATAAGTGGCATGCTGAAGTTAAGCGAGGCAGATGTTGAAGGTCATGGCTTGGAACACTATATGCAGAGAATGAAAGCAGGAGGACACAGCAAGAGGCCTGTCACCACGTCCCGCTGGACTGTCAGCCAATGTCTGCACCAGCAATGTCGGGACACACTTACACAGAATGACGGACCTATGACTGCTTATGAAGGACTATACTACTGTAATAATATGGGGGAAATAAGCTGGGAGGAGGGAATATGGGGAGGGCATAAGGGAAATCCCAGAGACTCTGAAACTGTGCAATAAAAGCAAAAATAAAATAGAAAACAATAAATAAAAAATTTTTAATTAAAAATTAATAAATTATTCAGTCCCCTCTACCCCCCATCCCCCTTCCAGACAGCCTACCTCTTCAAATGTCCTGTATGACTTCTATAGCTTCAGAACTATTCCTCAGCTTTCACAAAAATCCACCCACTTCTGATCTGGATATTTAGGAGTCACTCTTGACTCCTCTTTCACATTCCACACTGTAATCATTCTGCAGGCTATGTTAGTTTAGGCTCTTATTGTTCCATGCTTTGAATTACTGTTGCTCCTAACTGCTCCTAATTGGCTGCACTAACCCAGACAAGTTGTAAGTTGTTCAGCTGCACTAAGATTTGGGTTTCTCAAATGTGAAATAAATTACTGCTTCACAAACATATGAAATTAAATGAGTTAATAAACACAAAATATCCAACATACTGTTCCTGCTAATTATGCAATAAATATATGCCAATATTATACTCTCCCTGATTTGTCTTATTCCCATTTTATTTTCTATACTGCCATAAGTATAGAAACAAAAAAAAATCCCCTTCCATCCATCTTGTTGTTACATGAAAACAGGAGTTATAACTGGGAGGTTTTTATGTTATATTTTATGTTATAATGATGTTATATATTTTATGTGTCAATCATGATATAGTCATCAACCATTATTATGAAGAAATATATAATAATAACCAAAACATGAAGATGTTAACAGTTTACGAGAAAAAAAAGAGAATGTGAAAACAATGGTCTCACCCACTTTCCTCTAGTCCTTGACCCTTCACACCCTAACCAAATATGTAAAAATTATCAAAAATAAAATTTATACAACAAGAAAAAACAGATGTTAACACCATAAAGAAATCTCAGAAAAAAACTCTACATTGAATTGGAATTAGGGTATTTCTATGCCACAGCACTCAGATGCTATATATATTCCCTTTAATATTGTCATTTTTCTTAAAGGAATAAAATTCTCAACTTTTTTTTTCTTTTGCTCACTGCTAAAAATTCTAGTGGAGGGGCCCGGCGCGATGGTGCAGTGGTTAAGGTCCTCGCCTTGAACGCCCAGGATCCCATATGGCCGCCGGTTCTAATCCCAGCAGCCCTGCTTCCCATCCAGCTCCCTGCCTGTGGCCTGGGAAAGCAGTCGAGGACGGCCCAAACCTTTGGGACCCTGCACCCCTGTGGGAGACCCAGAAAAGGCTCCTGGCTTCGGATTGGCTCAGCTCCAGCCGTTGCGGCTGCCTGGGGAGTGAATCATTGGATGGAAGATCTTCCTCTCCGTCTTTCCTCCTCTCTGTATATCCGCCTTTCCAATAAAAATAAATCTTTAAAAAAAAAAAAAAACTTCTAGTGGAAAACAGTTAAGAAAAGAAAAACAAAACTCTGAAAATTAATCAGGATAAAATAAGCTACATGAGTTGACGCTTCTGGATTCAAATGAATCCAGAATGTTCCTTTGAAGTATTCAAAAATCTAGTTTCCAAATTAATGACTGCCCTGTGCTTTATTCAGAAACAAATATGTAGGTGCTGCAAAAAGTTCATACCAAACACATACTATGAAGTAATTATGCATGGGTTAAAATAATTTTGCCTCAAAATAATTTTTTTTGGTGAACATTCTAAGTATCCTTAAGCATTTTTATTCTCTACAGTGAAAAGCAAGCAGAGTGTAGGAATTACTGAAGTGGAACAGGCCATCCTAGAAAATCCTGGGATACACTACATTAACCGGAATAAAACAAAATTTCTTAGACACTATTTGGGTAGCTTCAATTCATTAAGCTTGCTAACAAAAATATTAACAATAAATAAACATTAGAACAAGTTGACATTAAAAATCAGTTGGTTGGCTATCCTTGTGGAATAGCTCGTTAATCTGCTGCATGCGACTCAAGCATCCCTTATCAGAATGCTGGTTTGTGTCCTGGCTGTTCTACTTCTGACCGAGGTCCTTCTGAATGTGCCCAGGAAAGCAGTGGATGATGGCTTAAGTATCTGAGCACCTGCTACACTCATGGGAGATTCAGAGTTCCTTGCTTCTGCATTCAGCCCTCAACACTGGCCACTTGAGAAATAATCAGCAGATAGAAAACAGCTCACTCTTGTCTCTTCCATCCCGTCACTTTGCCTATAAAATTAACAAATTAATCTCTTTTTAAAAGATTTATTTTATTTTTATTGGAAAGGCAGATACACAGAGAGGAGGAGAGATAGAGAGGAAGATCTTCCATCCAATAATTCACTCCCCAAGCGGCCACAACAGCTGGTGCTGAGCCGATTTGAAGCCAGGAGCCAGGAGCCTCTTCTGGGTCTCCCATGTGATTGCTGGTTCCCAAGGCTTTGGGCCATCTTTGACTGCTTTCCCAGGCCACAAGCAGGGAGCTGGATGGGAAGTAGGGTCGCCGGGAATAGGAGTGGCACCCACATGGGATCCTGGCACATGCAAGGTAAGGACTTTAGCCGCTAGGCTACAGTGCTGGGCCCAACAAATTAATCTTTAAAAAAATGAGTTTGGGCCCGGCGTGGTGGCGCAACTGGTTAAAGGTCCTCGCCTTGCACGCCCGGGATCCCATATGGGCGCCGGTTCTAATCCCGGCAGCCCCGCTTCCCTTCCAGCTCCCTGCCTGTGGCCTGGGAAAGCAGTCAAGGACGGCCCAAAGCTTTGGGAACCTGCACCCGCGTGGGAGACCCGGAAGAGGCTCCTGGCTTCGGATCGGCATAGTATCGGCCCGTTGTGCTCACTTGGGTAGTGAATCATCGGATGGAAGATCTTCCTCTCTGTCTCTCCTCTCTGTATATCCGCCTTTCCAATGAAAAAAATAATAAAAATAAATCTTTTAAAAAAAATGAGTTTGGAAACACCACTTATCTAGAAACTGATGCCTAAAAATACCAAAAGGCAGAAAAGAAATTCTCCTCCTCCCCCTACACATACAACACAACACAAGCGGATACACTTCCATCAGTCTCCAAACATGCCTAACAGCAGGGTAGCTGAAGTCAAGCAACTCCATCCAGACTTCTAAAGTAACTGGATGGCAGAGATTCAATTCTGTGAGGCCTCCACACTGCCTCCCAGATTCTGCAGCAGCAGGAAGGTGGCGCTGGCAGCCACCTTCTGTGGTAACAGAACCAGGGATTAGGATATGGGACATGGGTATCTCTTTTTCTTTTTCATTTTTTTAATTGTATTTTGACAATCTTTACAAAGTTAATTAGGGTAAAAAGGTTCAAGGGCTACAGAAAAGTGGGTAAGAATATTATTTTTTCCATATTGTTTCCTTCATGTTTAAAGGGGAGTATTAAGGGAGAAGGCTCACCCAATTTCCCACCCTCCCCAGGTCCCGGATGTAGGGTATGCTCTGAGGTTCTTGCCCAGGTGATTTGATATTTCAACAGTTATGAATCACTGCCAATCGTGCCACTCCAAGCACTATGAGGTCGTTGAAGAATCCACTGGTTGACATATTCCATCACAGAGTCTGTGTGGGACATGGGTGTCTCAAAGGGCATCCTAACTACCAGACACATGTCCAATGTTGATGCTGACATTACCCACAGAAACCAATGAGACAACTGTGCATAAAATAAGCTATGCAATTCCTACACAGCAATGTAGATTCCTATGATTAGCTTTTTTTTTTTTTCAGTAAAAATGTTCTCATAGTGGACGTAAGTTATTGGATTCCCAGTACGAAGGAGCCAAATCATAAGCTACGCCTAGGTGACTGGGAGGCTTTGGCTCCATCTCAGGTGGGCCCTTCACTATTATTACTAAGTTAAGGGAAAAAAAGCAAAATTATATTATTCTCAGGACTTGGAGATGAATTTTTCTAATGATTTAGTATCAGTGCTTATACACTAGGACTCAAGAAGTGATTCAAGGCACTTCAAAAGCATTCTTCCGTGTGACTTTTCCTTATATGCACCTGTACATAGGGAATGTTTAACTTAGGTATTAGATGTTGCATGAGGTATCATTTTCAATCACTAAAATAATACATTCATGGATTTATTGTTTAAATGCATAGTGCTTACAACTGTCAATCCACACACCACACTTTGGGAAAAATTGCCTACTTGTCCTTGGTAATTCATCTTTTTCTCTCTTGTTTTGCTCCTCCTATAAAGCAGAACTGAAAAAAGCAACGTAATCTAAAAGTGAACTTAGTAAGTGTGTAACAAAATTTTTGGGGGAAAAAAAAGACTTGAAAAGAATATTCCAGTTTAGTCATCAAAATTTTCATATATTCTGCATGAAGTACACTACATACAAGTTGTAATTGATATGCCAGTACAATGTTACATATTTCACAACACAATTGTATGAGATTATGATATCACACAAAATAATTCTGTGTTTTAACTTTGCCTCGTAGAAGAAAACATATGCAGCATCTAACAGTGATACTTACATTTGAAGGTTTAAGTTTGTTTATGATTGTGGTTTTGCCACTATTATCCAACCCAAGGCACAAAACATGAACCTCCTTCTTCTTTAGGCCAAGCAAGCCGGAAAGTCGGTCTAGCAATCCCATAATGAGACTCAAATACGATAAAGCAACTGTAAGTAAGAAAAAGAAAAACCCTAATACACAAAAACATCTAAGCGTGCTAAAGACTGCTCTGTTTAAAACATTCTTAATAATTTGGAGGCACGTAATGATATGGTGAGAACCTTGTCAATTCAGCTTTGCAATTAGTAGACAGACGATAAGCTGATTACCAGAAGGGAGACTTCTCAGAAATGCAGGTTGGCAGCTTATGACCCCTAGCAATACAGATTAATGCCCTTGAAATGACATTTCCCAGTGTAATGAATAATGTTTAAAAGGAAATCACAGGGAGCCTCAATAACATGTTCAAGTCAGTCAGCTGTCACACTTCAAAGCATCAAGTATCAATAGACCTCAGAATTTCTGGGAACTTTGGAACAATACCAGGCCAAAAGTTGCATGTATAGTATGCTGCTAAAGCTTAGAACTAACATGTAGACCAGACTCCATTTTTTAAACTCTCAGATTAAGGACTGACTGGCATTTGTAGACTAGCATTTTAATATTAGCCTTCTGATACCATGAAATAATTTACATGGACAATCTTTAATTCAAAGTAAGTTTGTTATTTATTGATGACACTAAACACACCAACATGAATGCTTGTATTCTTTCCATTTTTCATAAAATTTTGAATAGATTTTTAAAAATATAATTTCTTACTTCTCCCCTTTGGAATCTGCGCTAATGCAGTGACTGCCAACAGACCCGTGCTTGTGCATTCACCTTTCATAGTACCTGGCATTGCAACATTTCACTTCCTCTATCATAGATTATCAAATGATTCCTGAAATATTTAGGGACACAAAATTTAAAAGGGAAGTCGTTTTCCTAAAAATGTAATCACATTTATTAAAATTGCCTTATAAACATCACACAGCCTTGTGTGCACTCCCAGTTTTTAGTTATTGGTTTACCTCTAGAACTTTTCTGTATTCATAAAGAAAGAAAAGGCAGGCAAGTTGGTCAACATTTCTTTACCGTGTCCAAAATTCAGTGAGCGATATAACTGAGAATTCTCTAACTGCCTACACCGCAGCAGCCTGGAATGTCAATCCTGGTTCTCTGGAATCCACTGTGGAATCAGTTTCTGAAGATGGGATTCTTCAACTCTGACGGAAAGGTTACACAGGGAGCTGGGGCTTGGCCTTATAGTGGGGCACTGGTGGACCACCTTGGTGCAAGCGCTGGCAATGGTGCCAGAACTTAGCTTCCCACAAAGCGGTGGGTTTGCAGAGACCTGCACGGAGGCTCCACTCCTGGCTTCTGCCAGCCTTAGGCTCTGTGGGCACCTGAGAAGTGAAGCAGCAGATGGCAGCTCCCTGTCTGTCCCTTAAATAAATAAACAAAATACAAACTACACGGAGTTTCTGATACACAGTCACTGGTGAGAACCACCGAGTTTCAGAACCAAGTCCAGATTGTTAATCACTAGGTTACAATATAGGTGCAATCTACCCACTTTCTAAGGGTTCTTTCTTCTAGCACATCGGCTAAACACTCTTCGAGGATCTCTGTAATACTGAAACGAGGATTACAGGATGACAGCAAAGTTCAGAAGAATGAGGATGCTATCCACAACAGCTTGGAAGATGGGCTTCGGGGAAAGCTAATGGTGGGGCGGAAAGAAACTACGAATTGCATTTCCTACACGTGTGCTAAGTGAATTAATTGCTGTAACACATTACCCAAATAAATACTTTTTCGACTTTTAGATTTTGATGATAAAATGAAAGCTACACTTTCCACATACCAGAAAAAGGCCTAAGTTGGGCAGTTTTAATCAGCAGTCAATGAAACAAACTTGTTCAAAGCACTTCAAAGCTTCTGCTCTAGTCCCTTGGACTCACCACGGAGCCTCGCTCTTTTCTAGCTCTCACGTGTTAGAAACTACCCCAACCGAGTCCCAACCCTAGAGGACCGGAAAAGAGGCAAGGCATGCTAAAACTGACTGGGAGGGGCAGGGACTGCAAACCTCCCGGGAGCAGATACCTGGTCTTTCGGGATTCACCCGGCCGGCGCAGGAGCTGGCGAAGATCCACGCAGTCACTCGGCTCCGCCTTCGCGCTGGGAATTTGGGGAGCGAGCAGGGGTTCCCCAACCTCCGTCGCGGCGCCTTCGCGGGAAGGCCAGCTGGTTCTGACTAAGCCCGCTTTTGTAATTTGGAAGAACTCGCACCCTCAGCCCGAGGCTCAGCATCAGTAGGTGGGACAGTCGCCCAAGCGCGCAGCGTTTCCTTGGCAACAGAGGCTCCTTCCGGTTTCGAGGCCACGCCCCTCTGGAGCGGCATCAGCGGGTCGGCTCCGGGGTTGAGAGCTCCGGGAGGGGGGAAAATGTCAGAAGCACACCGATCAGTTATTAGAAAGCTGGCTTAGTGAAGAGTATAGGCGCTGCGGAAGCCCGGCCACCCGCCCGTTTCTTGCTAGGAGCCTTTCAGCTTTCGCTGGGGCATGACGGGAGTTGTAGGAGGCGAACAGCCTGCCGGGAAGCGTGTGGCGTCAGCGTTCGCCGTGCGTCTGTCCACCTCGCGCGCCCCACGGTTTCCGAGCCCCTGTGTCCGCGTGGAACGTGGCTTCGCGAAGCCCGAGGCCCCACGCGGGTCCGGGAGGGCCCAGGTGGCTTCGGGAGGGCCGAGGCCCCACGCAGGTCCGGGAAGCCCGAGGCCCCACGGCCCTGCTGGACGTTGGCTCGGCGGATGGCAACGACTGCAGCCCGCGGCTGAGCCCCGCCAGGAGATGTGCGCCGGGCTTGTCCGTTACCCTTGGCACCGACCCCCTTCCGGTTCTGACTGAATCCTGTTCAAAGGACAGCTCTCAGAGTAGGGAGGGAAAGGAAAGAATGGACCCTGCTTGCTGCCGCTACTCCCGAAGGCATAATCTGCTATTAGATGACACACTCTCCGGTCAGATCTGCTGGTGGTCAGGGCACACACGAATAGTCAACATGGAAAGTCTCCTTGCTAAAAGGCTTAGGTTCTACAGTAACAAATGGCCCTCAGTTCTACTTTTTCCCCCACGTTGTTTATCAGTGGACGGATCATAAATGCAATCATTTCAAACTTTTATGGAATTTTGTCAACCTTTCAGTTTACCAGCCTCAGCAGCCTTCCTTCCCGCCCCCATGAATTACTTTCATGACTGAAACATTTTTCAAAGATGAGATTTCATTTCTCCATTTCTCGTGTTAGCCAAGGATATGGGGTTTCCAGCTAAGCCAGTGTTACTTTTCCTACCCTACCTGTTCTTTGAGTTATCAATTAATTTCACTTATTAAATGGACTGGGAGGAATAAGAAACTGGGGGGGGGATGTTAAAGTAATAGTATTAGGGGGTGCACATGCTATTATGAGGGGCTTGTTTATCACCTTTCCAAATTTCCAGATGTGAGCAAATCAAAACAAAACAACAACAACAAAAAATGTGGCCTGGACTACGGACTCTGTTGAAAGACAATGTGAAAGGAAAAGAATTGAGGTTCCGTGAGCTAGGCGCAGCTTCGGATAGCCTCATCCTGTATTCTGGCTGCTCGGTTTTAGAGGCAGGTCTGTGCTAAACTTTGTGGGCAGTAGGGTAATGGCACCATCACTTGGACCCCTGCCACCCACATCGGAGATACAGTGGAACTGGATCCTGGCTTCAGCCTGGTCCATTCCTGGCTGTGGGAGCCCTGTGGGCAGTGAACAGGTGAATGGAAAGTATCTTTTTTCGCCTTCCTGCCTTCCTTCTTGCCTGCCTGCATTTTTTCTCTCTCTCCCTTCCTGACCCCACCATTGTTTCAAATACCTGAGTTAATATTTTATAAAAGGAAAATCAAATCCCTATAGTTACATATGCTAAAGTGTTGACATATAATGTCCTCATATAAATGGAGTATGGGGAAATATTCTTTATCTACTGTAGTATCTTAAGCAATTAAACCATCTGTGCTTCAGCTTCCTACTTATCATAAAGATATTGCTATATTATTTCATCCAGTAAGTTTGAGGATTAAAGAGATAACAAATATAAATGCTTGGCACATCATAGATGTTCAATAAATAATTTCATGTCTGTCTTGAAATTTTTATTATTTGAATAAGATAGACTCAATTTTAAATATGATGCCTCATTAACTTCTGAAGCCAAACACATTTACAAGGAAGCATTAATATTCTATGTGTTTGGTTATTTTGACACACTTTGATAAGAGATGAGAGCTAATTTGTTTAGAGCTAGCTAATTTTTTATTTTACATGGGTGCACTCAATTCTTCCTTTTTGCAGTATTTTCTGCTCCTATATGGAGTTCATCTCTTTTCCATCACATAAAAACATTTGTTGTTAACTGGATACATAATTTTCAAATCATACATCCAATTTTTCAGCATACACAGGCAGACAGATAATTCAGACTATTTGAAAGGGAGGAAAGGAGAAAGAGAGCAAGTGAGTGACCCAGAGACAGATCTTTTGGCCTTAAGTCATGCCCCCAAGTGCCCACAAGAGCTGGGCTCGGAGTGAGGTGGTCTAAACAAAACCCAGCAGGTGGGGGACTCAGCTGGGTTTTCTAGTAAGCTCAAGGTTCCAGTATTCTGAGCCATCATCTAATGACATTAGCAGGATGCTAGAATCAGAAGCCATTCTGATTCCAACCAAGGCAATGTAATGCAAGTGTCCCAAGTGTTACCTTAACTGCCATACCAAACACCTGCCAAAGCCAGACAAGTCTCTTGCAAAAAAGAGAGCTGGGTAAATAATTATCTTACACAAGAATAGTTGGTATTATGGCTCATAATTATTAGAGATGAAATCAGTTCATGAAGCCCACTATGTATTAATAATCTAGAAAATGTGAGTCTTGAAAATGTCAACCTTATAAAAGCATAAATATTTCATATGGTTCAATCTGCTGTTTTGGTGCTTTGCCAACTGAAATTGGTCTCTAGAGTACACTCAGGCTCAACATAAAGTTGTTGCACTTGATTTAAGAAGTTAGTTTGACTACGTTTTATTATGAGAGTAACAAGCTTTGGAAATGATTTGTGAGTTTTTAAGGCACTTTTGACTGTGTAAGAGAAGAATATCAGGTATTTACTTATTAGTTTTGATTTCATATTAGGTTTCAGAATTTCAATGGAAAATTGATCAAATGGTGAGTCTAATTAATTCTGGTTACTTTTTATGTATTGTCTTACTAGGAACTTTTAAAACGGTATGGAAAAATGCCAGGTTTACAGGATATTTGGGGGATTAACACTGATTATTTTAAGCTTTGTTTGAACAGTTGAATGTTTGACTTTTAGTCATCTGCATCTTGTGTACAGTATTGCTTCTGCAATGAAAAATTTAGTTCACTTGAATCTCACAAATATTTTGCCAATATAAAATCACTACAAAAATATGTAGGAATTATTTATGGTGACTTTGAAATTATATCTATACCTTAATGAGATTAGTAATTTTGCATGCAGAATTAACAAAGTATCAACTATGATTTGAATATTGGTCCCTACAATCTTCTGTTTATGATCCTAAGGGGGTGGAAAATTAAGAGGTGGTTCCCATAGCAAGTGATTAACTTAGGTTGTTAGGCTATGGAGCTATTCTGATTGAAATCTTCCTGGCTTTATAAGGAGTGGTACAAGGATGACACAGTGGTAAATGGGGCACCACATCCCTGCCTGTTCCCAGTTGACTCTGCATTGTCTCAGCTCTCTGTCACAATAAGGCCATAGCTAGATGAGGCCCCCTAGACCTTGAAACTCCAACATTTTGAGCCGAAATTAACTCTAAAATTAGCCTGTTTGGTAAATTAGGCATTTCACTATAAGAGTAAAAAGCTAACTAGTATATTATCTAAAGAGCACATAGATTTAATAGACTAGAAGATATATTAAATATACAGCAATATAACAACACAAAAGGAGCCTCAAATGCGACCACCAGAACTATAACTTTTATTTGTTAATAGATAGTTTAGTAAGCAGGCCTACTCTATCTGTAAGACCCTGATAATGCCTCTTAGGAACTCATAGAAAAATAAAACACAATAGTCATTTGTACTTTGTACAAAAATCCTATTATGTTGCTCAGCAGGTAGTTTGGCTAAATACCTTATTCTTTCAGCAAATAGATGACATATGTAATGCAATTCACCATATAAAATTCCTCATGCTGAGAGCTGAGCATTCTATAGAACATGATAATTCACATAAAACAGTATAATATAGATTTTTTAAAATGAAAATCATACCTCTTTCACATAAGTCTGGACTACTTCACCACTATAATAGGTAATTGGTAGGACTGCAGCTCAATTAATCCCCTTTTGTTGTGTTTTTCTCTCTGTCATACTGTGATTACAGCCAGAAAAGAGAACTGAGGCTGTGTAACGGACCTGAGTGTGATGCATCTATTAAAGTTCTGAGTGCTGATGTAATACCAAAGGAGGGGGAGCTTAGTACAGCACTTTCTTAGTCTCTCCAACAGATTTTTCCTCTGTTTGGGTAAAATGTTAAATTATTTTTTTTAAGATTTATTTTATTTTTATTGGAAAGCCAGATATACAGAGAAGAGAAGAGACAGAGAGGAAAATCTTCTGTCCATTGATTCACTTCCGAAGTGGCTGCAATGACCAGAGCTGTGCCCATCCAAAGCCAGGGGCCAGGAGTCTCTTCTGGTTCTCCTACTTGGGTGCAGGGTCCCACGGCTTTGAGCATCCTTGACTGCTTTCCCAAGCCACAAGCAGGGAGCTGGATGGGAAGTGGAGCTGCTGGGATTTGAACCGGTGGCTATGTGGAATCCCAGCATGTGCAAGGCAAGGACTTTAGCTGCTGGACTTCCGCAACAGGGCCAAAATGCTAAATGCTTAAAAAAAAATAACAGCTTTGTGACAAATTAAAAAGAGATACTTGGTTTTTCTTAAAACTGAAATACCTATAGAAAGAAAATCCATTTTTAGCTTCAGTTTTACTAGTCTAACATGGTTCTGTGAGGAATTAAATGTCTCAATTGAGGCAAATGTTACTTACATAAATGTGCTATTTAGCTTTAAATTAATAAAATATTTATTATTTGTAGCTATGAAGATTTTTGTATTAATTTGAGTGTATTGCAGCTGTAGAATTAATCTGCCTTATAAACTTTGGCAGTCATTTAAGTATCTTTTAAGTAGGTATCTTCAGTGGTTAGGTAACTACTGACTGGAATGTATGTGTGTGTCTATATTTTTGGCTATGCTAGAGCAGCAAAAATGTTTTTCCTTTACAAACAAAATAAAATTAATTAACACTAAGAGATTAGTTGCTGTTTTGTTTGTTTGTTTGTTTTTAAAGAGGAAACTTCAAAATCCTGCAAAATAGTATTTGAGAAAACTGACAAATGAGTATATAGCATACATATTTTAATATTAAACTAATTCTGATTATCATAGGCTTTGAATTATAACACAATG